AAGGAATTCAGTAAGCTTAAAATGGTTGGTTACTATACATTTTGGCATGGTGAACATCTACTATCCAATAAATCCCGTCTATCCCCAACTTATTTGTGGATATTAGGCCGTATCTCCAATTATATGAATGGGTGACACACCTAAACCCCTTCACAAAGTTCCCATCAAATGCTTACTAGGAAATTCCTGTGATCTTTTCACCTGATATCGACATCTTGATACGTCGTAAACGACTTGGTATTCCCTTGATGCGTGAACAATGTTTATTGATTTTCCGTCACGGAACACGTGGACACCTGATATACCTATTCTCGGGGAGCTAGTTTGACTGTGGAGCAAGAACGTCCAATATTATTTTCGAAGAATTCACTACAATTAAACTGACGTTATCACCCTGGAGATTAATTCGGGACCCACGATCACAATTGGCTGACAAAACTTGAGCAATCTACTTAAAATTACATTCAGAAACTATCTTTGTATGGACCTTATTTAGAAGATATACTCGTGACAGAAATATATAAAGTACGTTGAACATTCACCCCAGGTCTTTAGCCGTGCCTTTATTTCAAACTTTAAACAAAACGAAATCCAATTCTCGGACGTTCTGACGTTAACCTGGAATACCGACATCACTAAATGTTGAGCTGTCTACTGAGACCCTACTAGGATTAGAGAGCAATTTAAATCTACGATTTTCTCCCGTGCCACACAACCCAGGCAAATACATTAAGGACAACGAGTTTCTACGGCTTGTGTTGTGGTCAAACAACCACCGTGATTATTTAATTGAAAAGCAACTCAGAACAAACCACAAACGAGGGCATTTGACAGTACTAAACAAGTCTGTTCAAATTGAGATCATATATACTGCTTTTAGCCAGTTTAGTAGGGTCTTAGGCGTGGTCCTGCGCAGAAGGTACACTCCAGCACCACTGACAGGTACGATATACCTAAATCCTGGTCGTCAATCAAAATTACAGCTTCAGTTAATGGATTTATCAGCCCACATGGGATTATGGATGAACATGACGGAGGCTAGAAACTATGGTGAAAGCGTATTCATCCAAAGATATTCGTATCCTTGTGACAGATTTTGATTTAACACTGAAGAAGTAAAGGTCAGTTTGTCAGTTGCCAGGCTACAGATCGAGATGGATGACACAAAGTTGGACTTTACTCCTCTTGATTTACTTGATTACTTCAAGTAATCAAGAAAAACCTCTGAGCAACACCCAACTGTACGGTGATTGCTCCTCTGTTTCTAGTACACTGTCATCCGTTTCTTGCTTTTTTTGTACCTATGTACTGAATTCTTGTTGAAAAACGATAAACTGGTTCAATGAGTGAATTTTTTTGGGAAATTGAATGCTGAGTATTGAGTAGTACTAATCTGCTTTACAGATGGACAAAATTTAATCTGTACTCACTAAGTCTACCCACGGGCTTTGTACTGAGAGAGGAAGAATGGTTCTGTTGGGATCCGGTGTTTCTTAGGCTGGTCTACGAAATGCGTCCACCTAAATGTCTGATTCTTCTTAGAAGATATCGGCGGTCGCACGTGACGAACTTCAACCTATATCCTAATAATAAAACTTTTATACAGAGTACGATATTCTGCTTCCTGATGGCCTAAAAAATGTTAATTGATTCGTGGACAACTACGCGAACGCCAGCTTTATTGTTACCACTATCGCTCTTAATTTATCCTCTTGGGTAGTGCATCATATCCTACTTTCCGACAATATGTAGCTACTATAACTCAGCAAGTAGTGAATAATCCAGCTTGGTGTTTGGTCCCGTCTGTGTATGGATCAGATGGCTTAGATGTTCTGCCAAATCGTTAGACGCTAGTTTCTAGACAAGTACGTGAGTACAAATGGTTATCGGGGAAATGTGCGTGATTTAAGCATCCGGTTTGCTAATCACTTTGGTGCAAGAGAAAATAACGTTGCGAATTCGCTTCTTGTAGTATACGCACATCCCAATTTTCTTAGTTTTTAGATCGGATTCTTAACCAAATCTTGAATTAACCATCGCAACTCCAGTCCAACATATTGGCTATAGTATCCTGTTGGGCGATATCCTGAACGCTATAACTTGTAAAAATCCGATTGTCTTGTGAACAAAGAAATCAAATACAAACAACAAACAAATCAAACAACACTGTCTATCCGTAGAAGGCAAGGTGAGATAGCCTTAGGAATGTTGCTGTCTTACAACACGTGTATGAAGATTTCCTGAGACCTTTCTTCCTGGGCATCGGTCTTCACAGTAGAAGCCTTAATATATAAATTTACTGATTACTTTATCGTGTGACTTTTACCCATTGCGTGGCCATCGTCAAAGGGAGGGTAATTATGCATGCAGGACGCGTCCAACTGAGGGAGAGTGGAACACAACCAATACTATACGGTAGTAAAATATGTACTTGTTATGGAGAACGTTGAGTAACTGCACGGGTCTTTATGATGCGGTGTAGTCACTACAAACTCAAGAATTTGAGCCCATTTCGATGTGAACGCAGCTACTGTCTTTGTGTATGATTAGGAATTTTTTTACAAAACAGCTACTTGTACTAAGCACTACACATCAGTATGACTCCTCTAAAGTTTGTAATTATACAGTTGGTGGGATGTCTATGCTTAATCACTGGGTGAATCACTGGGTGTCAACCGTTGTTTTTGTGAGCTGTGATAATGCCTTTTAATGGTTCTTCCCAGATCTGGATATAAAGATTACCAAAGTCGTTCACATAATTACAGAGGAACCAAATATTTTCTTATCTGCAGGCAATTCATGACCAGCTGGAGGACTGATTTTTCTAATGAAGAGAATCTGAAGATCGGTAGACAGTTACTGAAGGACTTGCGAATATTGAGTGCAAAGTGTGCTTCAGGAAAAGTAGCACAGACAGTTGCAACAAGAAGGCCTTAAGGAAATTAATAAAGGAGTATGGTTTTGTCCAAGATAGTTTCTTGCAAGCTCGCAGCGAGACTGCCAATTTCATTCCATGTTCCACTTTTTCAGTTTTGGTTATTTGTGGTAGATATTCTCGGGTCAAGGTCGGAACAATTGTCATGTTCAAAGTTGTACACTTCGGCCAAAGTTGCTGTCAGATAGCTATGTCCTCTTCGTGCATATTCAGTGGGATTCCGCCTCCAACGTTCCTCCAGCGTTCACTACTGGTATTGTACACCAGTTGCATTTTTGTTCACTCTTGGTTGTGATGTCTGATTCGTTTCAGGATGTACAGAATCTGAAGCTGTAATTTACTTATTTACTTGCGATTTCGTGTATTCTGGCTCCAGATTATTTGTGTTGACGTGACGGTAGAGATACGACAGTGAAGCATCAGCAACACTGATGTTGCTGTTTTTGGTGGTAATGATGACGGTAAAGAAGCTGCCTGCAAAATTAGGTGGGATGCCTGGGAAGTACTGATCCCTAATAGTACATTTTAATCTTCGACATGCTGGATACCGGTTCACGTGGTGGAGTAACTCATCTGCTGAACCCAAGTTGAAAGTACTCAAACCAAGTATTGGAATTACAATATCCGTAAATCACCAATGGTACTAACTAATTACAGAGTAATTTGGAAAAGAAAATATGAAATATGACTTGAAATCCGGCAAACCAGCTAAACGAGCAGGTGATAAAATTAGGCAGGGTCAAAATATCATTGGTAGGCTGAAGCCATGTTTGTCCTACACAAAAGGAACAGAAGTTGTAAGTATGACGAACAAAGTTCCAGTAAAAAACAACGCCGAAACAAAAGGGGAACGGAAGGTAAATGTAACCGCAACCTTCCAGTTTGATTGCCCAAATTCACTTTTAATATCTGTGACCATGCCCTTCAAAAATAAACAATAGTTAATAATTGATCCCTCTGAGTTGTCGGTTTCGAACGATAAACACCGTGGCAGAGGGTAGATTCGGTTTGGTGGGCCAGAACTTAATGAATCTAAGGTGCACCAAAATTCGATAACCTACTACTACAATAGACCTAGATTATCTTATCATGGAATTATAACCGAAAACGGAACTTTTTGGACATCTGATGGGTGAAATAAATCACATTAAACCACAATTGGAAAGGGAATGGTTCTTCGACCATTTGAAAGGGCATTTCTGTCAGTAGTTTAGCAAGATGAGGGCAGAACTTGGTGTAGTCCAGATCATGGAAAAACGGAGTATGAAATTTAGACGGAACTTCAGTGTTCCGCCATTTGGTGAAATTCCAAGAAAGTTGTCAAGAAATACCCTGAGGGAGAGAGTATTTTTTCATTGTCACTTGAAGGCTAAAGCAATCACATATAGTCCTAGTATCGCAAAATGCACCAGCCGAAGAGTGGCGGCATACAAGTGTTTCGTGACACATTCCCAAAACTTTGCATCACTAAGGACTTGATTTTCAGCCAGTCCACTACCTACAGAGCTACAACAATATATGGAGAACGTGGAATTTCTATCACAACTTGATGGATTTGGCGAAACCGATATGAATGAATGGCAAAGTGTTTCAGCCATATTTTCTTTATTCTTTTTTCCGGATAAAAATATGGAACCCGATTTGAGCGACTGACAGGCAATCTCTGATTCTTCAGCCTATACCAGCTAAAAATCAGTGAATGAGACCTAAGTCAACCCACCCGTTTTTCTGTCATAATGCAACTCATTAATGGATATACCAGCGGATTCAAAGAATTCGTTCGTGAAGTTCAAGTTGAACATAGTCTTCAAATACGAATAACGCTGAAGTATTTGAAGTGATCTTGGTTAACTGCAGGGTAAAACTTCGGTAAAAACCGTCTACGGTTTGCTGCATTTGTGTATGACTATTGTGAATTAAGAATCTTTAAGTGTTTACTCAAAACTAACACTGAGTCATTAAAAAAGTGCACCACACTTATGTTGAACTGCTTGATGTTTGTCTGAGAGAAAGATCAGATGCTGAGATATATATTCAAAAACTCTTGTCGGTGTTCCATTTCCAGAAGAGGTAAAACGCACTAAAGATCGGTACGCGGACAGCCTTTGGGATGCGGCTTCTGATAGTTTCAACTGTCTACTTACTCCTCATAACATGCTTCTCAGGCCTTGGTAAGTCAGAGCTGGAAATCAGAAAATATAATTTGCGGTTCGTTTCGTGTCAAAATGAATGGTTTTCACTTTTGGCCAGACTAATGCGTCATTAAAACAATCGCGATGAGTTTGCATCCCTCAATCCGAGCAGATAGCAATAAACATCTCGCACAATTAGGGGGAGCAACTGGCAGCACTCAAGGGACAAATCAAATTAACCTGATAATAAGATAAAGAAACCCCCACAAGTATTTCAAAATGTAACTATGTGCAAAATCACTTGCCGAAATGACCCGAGAGGAGGGGACTAAGATTCGGGAATTGATAGCTAATGTGCCTGCGTATATAAGCCCCGAGATGCAGTTCCAACACAGATATCTAACTTGATTTAAACATCTCTGGAATTTCAGGATCAAATTTAGCATTTCTGCGCATCAAAAAGGAATATTTTACTAATTTGGTCTATTCTGTTGATATTATTTCTTGCCTTGAGGTCATTCATCATGCGTCTTTTACCATAGATGGTATATTTTCAACATTTTTAGACGGCCTTACTAATTTTGCTACACATTTTTCACCTAAATGGCTTCAAGAGGTTACATCTAAAGAACCTCCTTTATTAGACGAAACTGTCTTAGCAGCCCCTTCCGTAACACAATCGTGAGACAAATCATGTTAGTATGACCAACTACCTATGAGGCTAAATCTTCCTGGCACTTGCTATTGTAATGTAGAAGGAATACCGTATCCACACGCCAGATGTTCGCTCACCTGGAATCCATACGTCCGGTATTAAGTCTTCTCAGTTAATGGACTTGGTGAGCAATCTCAAATAGTTCAACTGTATACCGACGCAGTCACTTTCTTGTAGTTTAGATACAGGTCAACAGTAGTGATTTTTTGCGCATTGAGCACATTATGTCTCACACCCTGGCCACAAAGGCTGGAATCTCAAAGTTTGTGTAACTGCAGCATCGACAGCATTTAGTGGACTGACAGCAAAGTTCTTTATGGGGTCATTAGACCGAACCCAGAGTAACTGACCAATGCCTATAGAGCAGACAAACATTTCATGCCGTCACATTCTGGCGGTTTGTACTCCTTGTGAGGCAATATTCTTCAGAACAAACCAAATGTGTTTACACCTAGCAGCTTGCTATGTTGAATGTGAAGAAGTGGATAAAAGTTCTGAGGGCATTTTAGGCGTTACATAGACAAATTGCCTTAAGATTCAAAGAAAATAACGGGGACAACAGTAACGGGACAATGTGGTGGACCATAGTAATACTCACGTCTGGCGTTTTGTCACAGAACATCATCGCCCCGGTTAATGAGGAAACGTTTTCAGGATGACTCCAGAAGTTTTTCTCAAATAGCAAAAAATTAAAACATTTTTAACATGATATTAATAAACATCTCAAAGCTACTTTCACAAAACAGCTCACTAGCTGTGAAGTAGAGCGTGAAGTAGCATATTTCTTAGTTTTTCTCAAATTTGCACGAGGATATTAGTTTTAATGTAGCTGTTGTAAGATTTCAGCTGTCATATTTTCCCACGTGAAACAGAAATCATCACTCAAACAAATATGTGAATAAAATGAATAAAAATACAAAAGATAAATCAAATAATAAATAAATAAAAGCAAATAAAAATATAAATAAGTTAAAACAACAAATCATGTATATATTGCATATATAATATATATAGTATAAATATGCAGATTGAATAACAATACCATGATCACTTGTCTGGTAGATTCAGTGCATGTTGTTTCATTTCGGATATAAGACTGAGCTTTGGAGTATGACATACTGCTCCTAATCAATAACTAACCAGGTTTATCCGTTTTCTGTACAAACGTTTCGTGCTTTGAATTAATGACTGGCATTTTTTGGCGCAGCTTTTCCTGCTCTAACTTTAGCTGCCCATTGTTTGACGTGCATTTTCCGCGTTTTCTCTGTTAATTCTATCCCAAAGCATCTTTCGACAATATGGAGCTTCATACTAATTACTCAAATGTCCTAAATTGTGAATGTGTTGATGTATTTTGGGTTCTTCGAACGGACTTCAAATGTACGAATATTAGCTTGTATTAGTGATGGGTCCGCACTGCAGTAACAGGAGGCACCATTACACTGTGCGGGCTGTGTAGACATACCGTCATATCAGACGATAATAGAGTGTGGATAACGGAGCCAAAAAGCATTATTTGCAGAATATTCTTTTTGAAGTGAACATGAAATTTAATTCACTCGAGCATGTACTAAGATATTTATGCTAATCATCAGGATAGTTCAAGAAGCCAGGATATCTTTAGAGGGTTACCTGTTTTTTCAACTAGCAATGGATCGGAATAGCTTTCTTGTCATCGAGTCCTTTTGAAAGATTTACATGCTTTGTTTATAAATCATCATGTTTTTCGAATGTCCAAAAAGATTTTCCATAAACATTTGTGTGAAATGAGAACCATAATTACTAACCAAGGTTTGTAACCATGCAGACATCTTTTTTGTTTTCCGGTACCACTTGCAGAGGTCCTTCGTAGCACCTTCCTCTTAAGTCTTTCTGGCATTAAAATAAACCACGCCATTATTCGTGATTTTTTACGAATACCTGGAGGTCACCTAATGATACCTGGAAAATATTTAGGTTGAATGGATAATGCACTATTTGTAGCAGCCAGCAAGTAGGATAATTGTTAACTTGCTTCTGAGAGAAAAGGTTATGCGCTAATATCCTCACTAGGGACAGGGCACCGTATGTCTTTCTTATCAGCCTGAAGTGCGGGCAAATGACAGTCGACAAATTTAAATGGGTGTTGGAGATGAATTTCAATCTATCGTCCCAATTAAATAGGCTTAGCGGACGTGGGTAATAATTAAAAGCCTACTTGTATTGCACGACTGGCGCAAAATGCACTGTAGTGCTGAACGAGAACGAACTCAAAACGTGAAGCCTTTAGGTACGTAGCCGGGCAAATATAATAGTCCTTGTAGTTTCCTTCAAACCACACTTCAAGCAGTACTTTTTATGGAACTTCGTAGCATCTTGTGCCGCACAAACCACAAAGTTTTTTAAGTGGTATTTCCAGAGAGCTAAAATTTTGAGATGAATTAAGTTTGACTTCCAAAGAAACGTGGGAGAAACATGAAATGGAAATTAAGAAAACGCTCATTTCTTTGTGCTGCTATTATCACCTCACGTAACTTAAATAAACAACCAGACCAATATATACTAAACACAATCTAAAATCCTTTAAAACCTTTATTGTCGAGATTCTCGAAATCATAAGATAAAGCAGTCTCACGCTTCAAAGTTTTTTGGGCTTAGGTGTGTATTACTTCGTTTCGTTTAGAAGTATAACATTCTCCTCATTCGAGAAATCTCGCATCTGTTTATTAAGCATCGTTTTACGGATGCTTTTGGATCATATTTGGGTAGCAAATATGGTTCTCAGTTTATCTTGGTCTACGAATATGAACCTAACTTTTATCTGCATTCCTTTTTTCCAGAAGGTTACATATTAGATGGCGGTGAAGATTTGGGTAAGTTAGTGGGTTATCAAAGTGTATGCGAATTGAGTTTTGTTCGACAAGCAGTCCAACGTGATCAGTCCCTAGACCATTTTTGCTAGAGATTTCCCCATTGGTTTCTAGAAATTTTAGAAATATCCGTGGGTTTCCACAACAAGTTGAAAGCGGCCTAATAGGAGGTGTCCATTGGAGCCCTGGCATGACGTCATTTTAAAAAGAGGCGGGGTTTTGGGGAAAAGCTAAGATTGTTGCATATAATTATGCTACACTTATACCAAGATGCTTGTGGAGGGTAAAACATGACTATTTCATCTATCGAAAGTCCTACTGGTTCTACTTTGGAGTGCTGCTTGCTAAAAATAATTGATACCGGTATGAAATGTCTTCATTCAAGCTGAACGAATTCCACGAACTGTGAATCAGCATGTGCGAGTCGAGAATATTTACAACGGTCTTGCTAATTCTATTCTACATTCTATTGCTGTTTTTAAATTCGAGGATTCATAAACCATCAGACATCAAGCTTCTTCTTTCTACCTTCCTAAAATAAAAAAATCCGGCTGGATGAACTCAAGCTTTGATCTTAGTGGACGTGCCCTGCGGCTCATTTTGCCGAAAGACATTGTCTTAACGAATTCCGGCAGCTGAATTTGACTTATGTTTAGCCTCTACTGGACTGGTGTTTGTGACACATGCCAGGCTGTAACAGTTGAAGAAATTAATGCTTTCATTTGATCTGAAACGGTCTTGGAAATCGGAAATCGAGAACTGCGCACATTTGCACAGACAGTCTACAACCTGAAGCATAGTTGCATGGTTTGTGGATGGTGAAGATATTTTGAAGTTTCTAACGAAAGTGTGCCTTTAAAATAAATTTATTCTACTACAAGAGGCTTAGCATTTTTCACTTTGATTTCACTTATGACGGGTGCGGCATCGGAATTTAGTATAGAATTCTGACGAATGATTAGCGCGGACGATTAGCCCCACAAAACTGACCACAACTGGCTGATGATAATCGTGATTCCGCTGAACTTGGAGGTATAAAGTCACGACAGAGGCTGTTTCACGCTATCTGGTGCTGATGAAATCTGTAAGGGCCGTTGGCTTCATATAATATGTGCGCGTATTTCGCACTGATAATGAACTGTACTCATCTGTAATGGGGTTCGGATAGTAACCAGATGCTTGTGGGTTTGAATGTTCTTGGTGATGTATTGGGCTTGTCGTCGGTGTTTACCACGTAGAACAAAGTAATCTCACAGTTGTTTCTAACTTTCGAGCTCAGAATGCTTTCACTTAAAGAACTGTTCGTTCAGAGCCTAACCAAAGGCTTCTGTGCCAATGGCTTTCAGAGTCCGACGACTGTTTCAAAGAAAGTGAGTGCTCTTTGTACTGACGGTTTTCAGCTTATTTGTTATGTTTCTGCCAACACAACCTACTCACAAGTAGATCGAACTTCAAAATTCCGTAATCGCTGCTTTCGAGCACGGTGCTTGTTGAGCTATAAATTGTGTTGACATCCACGATTTTAGAGGTGTTGATTGTCATAAGGTCAAGAACATTGAGTTCCCAGATAAGTGTGGACAATCTTTGTAGTGCCACAGAGAATAACATGGTGATTCGTTTGCACCGAGTTGCTGGCCTGCCTCGTTTGTGTGAGCTTTGAGTGAATATATTCTGAAGTCAAAAACTGGTTGGTTTAAAGTCGTTCCGTCATTAAAGAATGCTTGCAGCGTCGTCCCAGACAGCATGCTTAGTTTTGTTCCAATGACCATATAATGTGAATAATATAACGCAAATAATTGACGCCAAATTCGGTATAGTGTCCATGAGTCTGTATCACTCACTGACGCTTTGGTGTGGCAATACTGCCGAGCAGATATATTTGAAATATGACAACTTGCTCGTGGCTGATCCCACTGTAGCCTGAAGTTGCAACTAATTAGATGATAAAAATATTTTTCGAAGAGTTTTTAAAAAAATACTTCGGTTGCCTTTTGATCACTGCGGCTCATTCCGGATTTGTTTACAACGGAACTGTTGTAATGGTTTATATTTTAAAATGTAGATTTTATTCAGTTGCGGGTGCAAAAATTTGAAATTCTCAGTGAAATAGTGTACCAAATTTCTTGGCAGAGTGAATCTAACCTGAAATTAGGAACTTATGGTCCCTGAATTGAGTAATGTCATCGAGTTTGCGATTTATATGATCTTTAAAGGAAAATGTTGAACACTTCGGAGAATAGTATGTTCCTTCAAATGGCTTTAAAAGAATGGTCAACTAATTTACAAAAAGAGTACTGAAGGCACTGTATTTGAGAAGAAAAAAGTAGAAAACTTGGAAAAATGTTGAAAGTGAATACATAATTGTAAATAATTATTTAAATATGCAGTATATCGAAGGAGTACTGTTCACCTATCACGCTCTTTGTTTGGCACAGCCGGTATTTTTATGTCTACGTGGACAATATTGGGATTTTTGGGCTGAATGAACTAAATTGTTCCACGTTCTTACAAAATTCGGTTTAGCCACGTTAAATAATTTTGCACATGGTTGACTATCATTTAATCACCAAGCCTACAGCTAGTAATCATAATTCCACCACGGTGCTTTTATTACTTTCTGAATTGCTTGTCATTGAGGAAAACAAATTTTGTCGCTAATCTTATTTGAAGAAAGTTCCAGGAACTTCTAAATAGAGAGCACTAAATGTGCATGCTCAGTTCCCCAGAAGAAGTTCTCTCAGATGCAAAGATTATAGTTACTACGCTGTCATCAGCACTACAAGAATGATTAAGATTTCACGTGACCACCAACATAAACTACCGGTGATCATCAGTAGTTTAAGTATTTCTTAGTTGTGCATTTAATTGCTGAATGATCTAGAAATGGCTTCTATGCCGAACAACCACAAATGGACTCTTCAACCCGATGGGTGGTTTATTTAAATGCTATCGGTAATTCAGTGACTCATCTTGAGGACCTGTGACAAACTTCAAATGGAATGCACGCATTGAAAGCCTGGTGAATTTGGCCATGTTGTAAAATTGTGTTCAGTCAGGAAACACGATTTTACTACAGACATTGCGGACCAAAACAAAGAAATTTGCGCTTTAAAATGCCGATAGAAAAATTGAAAGTTGGTCGGGGAAACCACAAAGCACACGTATATCACTTTCAGTTTTGATCACTTCAAAGTTATATTTTCGGATCGGCAGCTTTGTTCTTTTGCAAAGAGGAATGGACAACAAGCACTAGAGAGGTCATTTGGATCGATCTACTTTTTATCGCCTTTATTTCGACAGCATTTTACACCGACGTTTTCCACTTAGACGACTTAGATTGGCCGCTATCCCGAATTGAAGAACAAAGGCGGCAAACAGATAGACAGAACATTGGTATACAAGTAGGCGGAGACGACGCGCAGTGGCCGGAAGATAAAGACGCCAGTGATAAATGTGAGCCTGATTTGTTGTATTCTGAGCTGTGACACCGCCATATTTGTGAGGAAAATGAACTTACTGTCAGCGCCTTTTGTTATTTATTTCTGGCTGAGATGCATAAAAAATTTGAGACCATAAGCTGAAGATATACGCACAAGTTAAAATTTCATTTATAAGTATATTCTTCAAGTGCAAAATCTCCATCCATTCACAGAGATTTACTGCGGCTCCCACATTTGCACAAATGAAGGAAGCCCATTTTCGGATGATGGCAATTTCTACGTAATGTGTGTTTGCATAGCTCGTTTTAGTAATCGCCCTACACAGTTTTCCGTTTATTAGGGTTTATGGAAAATTTTTATCAAGGCTACGCCAGATTTACACCTAAAAACAATATTCGAAGCAAACGTGTCTCCAGTGGTCTAACAGAGCATGTCAGATATATTCTTACAGGTAAACATGTTTAGACGTGTGCGACAAATAGTGATACGTAGTTCACACTTATCAACATTTGATCTGTGCATATAGAAAATGGGGTTTGAGCGTTTAATCAAATAGTGCTCAATGCATTCTGTCCGGATTATTCACGTAGTCTTGCGCCATTGTGTAACGGCATTTCCAAACACTTAAAAGTGTGAAACTCTCCTCATTCGCCTTGTAGTTTTCTTCTATACCAAACGGGATTCGACCTCAGCTTTTATTGCACTGCATTTGATTTACATTACAGTGCGCGAAAATGAGAGCCAAATGGACAGTAACGTTGTCGATCAATCGGACGCTAAAGAAGAGATTGAAAGGACAGATGACAGATACTCCAACCACTCAGAGCAAATCCACGCTGATGATGGATTGATAAATACTGATTCCAAAATTGATCATGATAACGATGAAAAAGAACCATTACACACTGATTTTCACGGTTTCGATGAAACTAGTGAAAACGGTATAGGGCAGAAAGACGAAAATGTGTTGACTGAAAAGAGTTATGTGAATCGAGATGTTGATGGAAGCGAAAACGTTAAGGAGAGCACTGGCGTTTCAGACGATGCTATAGATGATTGCAACTTTGAGAAGGGCGAATACACTGCCGTAGTTACTGTTCCTGACCATATTCCTGAGCATGGAGAAGATGACGGTACTGAAGACGGTGACACAGTTATCAACCAGTTCACTGGGGATGACGGTGAACTACAAGAAGACGAACAGCCCAACCACACGCATGAGGAACAACAGGAGAAGGATGCTCACATTAGTGATGGAAATGATATTTATACGGATGTCAATAGGCGTCTTGATGGTGATGATGCTGATCACCATGATAATACTGACGAATATGTTCACCATGATGGCGTCATACACGATCATCAGGATGATTTCGGTGATGACAACGATGAGATCCGAAATGGCCATAGAGGTGACGACAATGATGAAGTCAATGAAGATGACGATGGCGTCGATGACAGATACGAGGAGATTGAAGAGAGCATTGATAGTAATGATGACGTAGATGAGGAGGATGTTAAAGGTGATGACGATGACGACGACGACGATGGCGACGACGACGATGATGACGACGACGATGACAACGATGATGACGACGATGATGAGGACGATGATCACCAAGAAGACGACGATGATGACGACGACGATGGTGACGACAACGATGATGATGATGACGATGATGATGACGACGATGATGATGATGATGACGACGACGATGATGACGACGACGACGATGACGACGATGACGATGACAACGATGATGACGACGATGATGATGACGATGACGATGATGATGACGACGATGATGACGACGACGATGATGAGTGAAAGTACGAAGCTGTAACATTAAAACGGCATGTTTTCTGACCTTGTGTATACACTCTAAGAGGAGTTTTGTTCGAAAATGAATTAAGTGTATGACTGTCAAACGTTGCATCCAAATTTTTCATTGGTTTTAAACCTTTAACTAACGGTTGAAATGACAATTCACTGGACGTGCCTTAGAATATCCATACTGGAAGTAGCGAATAAGCGAGGTGGGTTAGGCAGATATCAGGACGATTCGTTTACTGCGAAATTTGCTTGATAACGATGACCATAACAAAGGGATCTGTCGTGTTGTGGTCAGCTGCGCTGATTTTGCGTAATAAAAGCATACATGCCTAAATTTTACAGTCACTGACAAAATCATCCTTGTGGTATATAAACCCCCATAATGACTACTGGATCGATCGGTGATACCAGAAATTCACATGCTATCAAAGACTTTTTCTTAGAATAAGGTAACTCATAGTGTCATTCACCTCTTGAATGGACGTCAATTAGGCCAAATACCTATAAATTGTTTTCCTGTAGAGTATGGATAGATATGACGCGGTAGACTCAACAGCTTTACTGAAACATACAAAGTTCAAAGCCAAAAAAGTGTGGCGGAGCATGAATTCATACAATCTTATTTCGCTACACCGTGCTTACACTTTTAACGTCCCATATTATGCATTACATGGCATTCAATCTGCTTAACAAGATTCGAGCCGACTTTGACCCAGATCCCTAAAACATTTACTCGGAATTTTTTTCCAGTTTCGGTGACAATCAGACGGATGTCAACCGATAGAACTTTGAGTATGCTTGACAGGATTGTGTTGGCCTACCTGCTTAAGATTGCAATCAATGTAAATAAAAACAAATCCTGCATTGCTGAAGCAGGGGGCCGGTTGGACGTGAGCTGTGGCGTCTCATCCTAACGTGCCTGACCGAAGTGACTAAAGTTCAATCCAACATGATCCATGGTGAAATTGCAGTGATTGCTGTACGGGATAGGGGGAGAGCAAAGGGAATGGATACGAAAAAGAGTGGAAATGACAGCAGTAGGATGGTTTGGCCTATCCGACCTACTGCTCGAAGCGGCAAGATACCCCATTTTACGGCACAATGCACCGACTTGTCATGAAAGTGCTTCTATTTCTAGGAAGCTCATACGTAGACAGGAATAAAAATACAATTCTTGATCAAAGGCTTTGCTTAAGAGCCTGACCGCAAGATTGTTGCGTGGCACGAACTGCTACACTTCCAATCTCCAATCTGGAGAGAAAACCGTATATAATAGACCTCTGTCCACGCACCGGTCTCGTGGATCTTAACCGGGGATCCTCCATCATAGTCCAGTGGGCTGCCGGAGCAAGGTAGGGCCCTGTTGCAAGCATTTCACAAAGACAAGCTTCATACGAATGAACGAACTTCATAGGTGTACGGTGCTAATAGTTGTCCGCTCACCCGCTAAACTCGGTGGTGCGACTGAAAACATTTTATCAGGAATCATGGTCACATCAACCATACAAGATGAAGAACCATGCAAGATGAAGAACAGTGTTGCGTCAGTGGTTCTCCTCAGTCAAGCGAGCAAAACCCTGAATAACCATACAGTCTGGTCTTTCAGTAACCTTTTCAAAACCACAAAATGACCATCAAATGATGTGTAAGTATTAACGTTCGTTGAGCGACATTCAGCTGTTTTGCCTTCTGTTTGCATCGCAACAAAGCATAGAAACCCCAACAAAATACCAAGCAGTGAAATTCTGGAGAAACCAAAAGTGATGTAAAACTGAACACGCACTTGGCTTGCGTAAAAGTGATAGCGATCACAACAATAATTAGGTTAACATAAAAATGTTCATTTTGTTACGAGATTTTGTTTACGAGATCCAGGTGTGTTTAGAACAACCTAATACACAAAAGCTGCGTCTGAAAATGTTTAGCAATTGATCTTAATCGAAATACGGAACTTGCAAGTATTCGCTATTTGATGGTTGTCAATCAGTTTAAACAGTTAATCTGGAAGTATCAGTCCGCATGGTAGAATTTTAGTACAGTTCACGCGAAGTTCAAAATACGCATTGTTAGCAAGTAGACTACACAAAAATCCTCTTATCACGTGAAAGTTCGAGCTCAGATTGTACAATGAAAATTAGCATGGCCATTTACACGCACGTGATGTGTTGACACAAGTGGAAGTTATTCATCGTGCACGTGTAATACATGCTTGCAGACGGGGGAGGGATAACCATCTGCGTTATTCGCGCAAATGTTGTTGTCGACGTCCTCAAGTAGAATTCGAGTCTACATTGTCTGACTTAAAACTAACAAACTGTTAAATTTTTGAACAGTACGCTTTTCACATGCTTGCTCTAAACAGCCCGACAGACTGCGACCGAATCCACTTTTCATTAGTCTCACGGGGGAGCTGCATTCTCTGGGTTTCTGGACGATTTCGCACGATGAGAATCCACAAACCTTTCAAGCGAAGAGGAATGTGATGGCACACGCAAGGTTTTGGAAGTATGGTATGCCCGAACGAAATAAGATGGATGAGAGAACGTGTGGAGGCCTGCTTGAAGCATCAAGTCAACCCGAACACGATGGCGTAACAATGCGCTTCGACAACAGTTACATATTTACGGTGGAGGAGCCAACGTCATACTACCGGTGTTTAGAGTTTAATCATAATAACATCGAGTATATCATAATGCTTGAGCTGTGGCTGCCTCGTATTGTTATTCATATGATGGCACTGTCGGCCGGTGATATTAAAAAAGAAACAAACCTACCTGAGTTTCAGATGCTTATGTTTATTAGATGGACTGATGAGCATGATCATGGCTCACAAACCCTACTCCACTAAGACGTGTGCTTCCGTAGGTTGCGTAAGTTTTCAGGCTGTAATCGGCATTGAAGAAAGTTAATCACTTCCGAATTGTTCGCTTATTTAATGTATAGCAATATAAAATAAACAGCATTGTGATTTGACGTGGCTTGTTTGAGAAAACGTGGACGGGAAAAAATATTTTTGTATTGATAACTTTGCCGCCAGAAATTTACGATAATTTTGTCGAACAACGTTTACCGCTAGATCGATATTCGAAAAACAACGTGAACTAGGCTGAGAGCAGATAGCGTGACCTGTGGTTGTGCGATAGTTATGTTCAGCACCAAATCGCGGTCGCACATTAATTTAGGCTATTTTCGCTGAATAAAACCACCTCATCTCATTGTTGAGATAACTGGTGCTCATTTATGTTATCGACTTGAGTGGTACATTTACATCATAGACGACAACCTAGTTTGATTCTTGTAGGCCATAGCACCCATGGGGCCGCTTCGAAGATGGGAGTAAAGCTTCATTCTGTTCTGCTGTGCAAAGTCGAAAGTCAGCGATAGAGTTACTAAAAAGACCTCAAATTTTTTCAATTTTTTTCTTCGAACACACAGACGGTATAAGGTAGTACAACAAAAATATAGGCATGGCGGAAGAAGGAACGAAAAAGTCGTGGGTCCTAATCAGTAGCTTTTGGTGACGGAAGTACCGATCACGTCCAATTTCTTTTGTGTGTGGCACCCGTTAGGTTTACTGGGGTCACAGATTGCATGCCCATTATCTGGCGCCGCAGGTACCTTTTATTCTATGCACTTCATGCCTTTATACCCCCACTGGTTGCGCTCTGCAAGCCCCTTACACGCGGTATACCAGAATTATGTCACATTTGAGGAAATGTACTTCATGTCAGTAATGCAATACGATTTATATATACATATTATGCAATTCTGTCGATGAGATCAACTGTTCTCTCACCCTTACGAGTGTACACGATCCATGAGTGCGACGGAGTTCGTAACTTGGTTATCTATACTTATACAGCTGTCGTGTAGCAAGTTATGATTCCATGGTAAAGTCATTTTATTTTCTTTCTGTTGAATACATGTCACCAATTGCTCTCGAAGCGCATCTGTGTAACTCGGTGGGTGATCTTTTGGTGGCAGCTCAGAGAAAGAACGATATCATTTAGTCCCAAAATAAAGCAAACGTCACCTGGGGGGTGGCCGTGTGTATTGAAATCCATAAGTGATTTAATTTGCATCCGTATTAATTCAAACGCTTGCGGTAGGGTGCAAACAGACAGAATAAATCAACATCCCTTCACCATGTAGTGAATTTCGCGGTTCTTGTAGTGCTCTATCTCGGATAACCAGATTTCCTCAACGAAACGTTTCTCATTCTAATTGGCAAGCTTTGGGCCTATGATCAACGCATATTTTGAAACAACCGCGGCTAGTTCATGTAGGCAAACTATGTGGTGAGGTAAAACATTCCACTGAATGTTTAAAAACCCAAGATATGTTCAAGCTTTTTTAAATTGATGGTAAGCTTTTAACTAGAATTAGTAGTTGTGAGTAAATTATAAAACACTTTCTAAATGCACATGAATCAACCACCGAGACTGATGACCGATTCAGTACGCCATTGTTTGAGAGTCATTTTCAGAGCGTTTCTAAATAGTCTGACGCCACTATCTTTAAGTGAGTGTACAAAACCGATATAATAAGCATGGCAGTCTACGAGCGGATATCAACCGACCTATGCCGTTTCTTTTTTATGTGCTGATCAAAGACCGGTCGACAGCCAGTGCGCGGTGTGTCAGCATCAGCATCTCGGAATTTTTTTTAGTACAGCTCTTATTGAGGTGTTCAAATTTACTAACAAACTTTGATTGAAGTACTCGAGGCCGGATAATAGTTTGTGTCATCTATTGGAACATAGAGTAACGAGCTGTCTTGAAATAAAAACGATACATTTTGTTCTCGATTACCTGTAAATAAGGCTTTTCTAGGCAAAATGACTGAAACGCACAACACAGGTGTTTGCTTACTGTTGGAACACGTCATCAGACTCCAGGGCGCTCCGAAGCCGTGACCAATCGGTTAATGACTACACGGTTCCCTCACGGACAACCAGTCAGCAGCTTCATCATCTCACAATTAATAAATAGCCCTCTAGATTTTAAGTCATTAACTTATAGGGAGTACTTCAGAAATGCTAAACACTGAGGCAAAACTGGATAAGTGGACAGTGAAAGAAACATACAGGGACCAAAAACGCAGCGTTATTCTGTGACTGATTAATCTTTCAGAAGTTGGATACATAATCTCTTAAGCGCACGTAAATTCAGTTTCGGATTTAACTGGCCAACAAACTAATCCAAGCTAACGACGTTCAGGCATACTCCCGATTCTATGCATTCGAATTAACTACTACTTGGAATAGAAGTGAACTTCATCTCACAGCTTCCAAAAAATCGCGAATGTTGGCACATCACGGAGGCCTTTGACTTCACGAACAACCTCACTCAGCTTAGAAGAACGAGATCAGTTATGGTGGCACTCCCGTGAGGATTAAGACGATCAAGGTTCGCGGAGGCTTTCCTACACACGGCGGGATTTTAGAATAAAGGTGCAGCATTTCTAAAACCGTCTTTTTCCAATGGTGCTAGGTACACAACTAGAAAGACCTGCAATTCTGCAAAGGACACCACACCCCTTGGAAATAATAACAGTCCAGATTTTGGGGAAGCATAGGCGCGATGTCTTCATATCTGCTTTAAGCGACTTGCTGTGTTATTTCTTTTTAGCACTCTCGATGACATTTTAACAACTCCTCAACATTGAGGCACTGTTATTGCTGATGGAGAATTCATCAAGTAATATGTGTTCGGACCACATCGTCTCCTGAATGTAGCGCTGCTGTCTGTTCCTGGCTGACACACCACCAGCAAAGGCTATTTGACGGTTATCTACAAAACGAGAACGCCGTTTCCATCCCTGAAAAAGCATGAGCACTACGATTTACTTCTCGCCAACGTCAAACAACGTACCAGTCTAGAAATAACTAACCTTCATTAACCAAATTTCAGTTCTAAACTAGCCCGTTCGTTTGAATATCACTGAATGTGAGGAATGTTCTACGTTTTAAAAGAAGCTTATTTTGCGTGAAGCTGTTTGTTTTTACATAAATTAGATTACCTTACCACCTCCATTTTGCGTCCATCCAGTGGCTGTCACAGCCGTGATGGTGTGCCAGATAGTGGCTCACAAGTGATTCCTACTGATCCTGCGTAACGTCAATGGAATATAACGTTTTCAGGTCTGAGACGTGAACCTCACAATGGAGAGGTTCGCGTGATTTACACTATCATCGTCGTACACCATCACCGCTCCTTCGTCATATGCTCTGCTTTCTACGTGCTACTCCAGACCAAGTATATCCGGCCTCATTGGCACCAAACGCGAGTGAAGGTGGCTGAATATATCACGCTCCGTGGTCAGAGTAAGATTTGGGGACTTGGATACATGAATTTTTCCTAACAAGATACCGCTTGGCAATACGGATATTCAAAAAGGTTCAACTAGCCTATATGGCTATAGATAATTTGTTGCAAACCCATCGCTTATATATTATTATTTCTATTATTCTTACTACCTCCATGGGGAAAAAAAAGGAAATGAAGTTTGAATGATTCACTGCCTGTGTTCACACAACTATTCACCATTTTTTTGCGTAATATAAAGTCCGAAGTTGCAGTTTTAGTAATATGGGCATGTAGTAATTTATAATCAATTGCGTGTAAACTAGTGGATGAGCTTCAATAATATTGTGGGCCCCAACGCCATTACACAGAGTAAGCAAGTTTGAAACGATGTGCGAATGTGGAATGCACGTATTCCACCATACAATCGGAGGGTTCACAGGTCGAAACAGTTCCAATGGGTTTACAACCGGTACAGAGCACTAAGCTGGATGCATTTGCGGCTCAACGTTAACTGTACATGACATTATCCATTATGCGCAAACGTCCACTGACTTGATTGAAGATAACTGGCACGTCCTGCGTAACACCGCGAACCGCTTAGCCAAACATGATACTTCACTGAAATCTATCCTCAGATTGGCAGTGAAACTTATGTGTAAAAATGATGTTAATTGTAGTCGGAATAATTCCATCGCTAGTGCAGCAGGTTGTTGGAAGTGGAGAGGTAGGTTTGCACGGAGACCGCATGCTTATTTGCTTAATGTTCTGTATGTGGTAGTTTGATTTGCTGCGCAAAAATAAACAGACTTATTCCACGGCTTTGGAAGACAGGATGAAAATTACAAGACTGTAAAGAACG